GAGACGGGGTTTCACCATGTTGACCAGGATGGTCTCGATCTCTTGACCTTGTGATCCACCCGCCTTGGCCTCCCAAAGTGCTGGGATTACAGGCGTGAGCCACCACGCCTGGCTTTATTTTATTTTTTAAAAGACAAAGTTTCATCATCTTGGTCAGGCTGGTCTTGAACTCCCAACCTCAGGTGATTGCCCACCTTGGCCTCCAAAGTGCTTGGATTACAGGCGTGAGCCACCACGCCCGGCTGAACTTTCTTTCAAGCAATCCTCCTGCCTCAGCCTCCAGAGTAGCTGGCACTACAGGCATGCCACCACCACACCTGGCTAATTTTTTGTAAAGTTGGGGTTTTGCCATGTTGCTCAGGCTGATCTTGAACTCCTGGCCTCAAACAATTCTCCTGCCTTGGTCTCCCAAAGCGCCAGGATTACAGGCATGAGCCACTATGCCTGGCCAGCATTTAAAAAATTTAACTTAGATTGGCTGGATGATTTGGCTCACACCTATAATCCCAGCACTTTGGGAGGCTGAGGTGAGTGGATCACTCAAGGTCAGGAGTTGTGACCAGCCTGGCTAACATAGTGAAACCCCATCTCTACTAAAAACACAAAAATGAGCTGGGTGTGATGACGGGAACCAGAGTCCCAGGTACTCAGGAGGCTGAGGAGGGAGAATTTTCCTGAACCTGGGAGGTGAAGGTTTCGGTGACCCGAGATCATAGCATTCCACTCCAGCCTGGGTGATGAGAGTGAAATTCTGTCTAAAAAAAAAAAGAGAAAGCCCACAAAACAATGAAATTTAACTTGACTTGGATTTTATGTTGCTGGTAATAGAGAACCGTAGAGGTTTTTAAGCAGACTGTGACATGATTGAATGTTTTTGTTTTGAGATGGAGTCTTGTTCTGTCACCCAGACTGGAGTGCAGTGGAGCAATCTGGGCTCACAGCAACCTCCGCCTACTGGGTTCAAGCAGTTTTCGTGCCTCAGCCTCCCGAGTAGCTGGGACTACAGGTGCTTACCACCATGCCCGTCTAATGTTTGAATTTTTTTTTTTTTTTGAAACAGAGTTTTCCTCTTGTTTCTCAGGCTTGAGTACAATGGTGAGATCTTGGCTCACTGCAACCTCCGCCTCCCAGCTTCAAGCAAATGTATCTTCTGCCTAAGCCTCCTGAAAAGTAGCTGGGATTACAGGTGCCTGCCGCCATGCTTGGCTAATTTTTGTATTTTTAGTAGAGACCAGGTTTCACCATGTTGGCCAGGGTGGTCTCAAACTCCTGGCCTCATGATCTGCCCGACTCAGCCTCCTGAAGTGCTAGGATTACAGGCGTGAGCCACAGTGCCTGGCCAATCTGAATGTTTATTAATTTAATTTTTAGGATGATGTCCCTGGCAGCCAGGGGACGAATAAGATGGAGTAAGGAGAGAATAATCAAGTGGCTAAAGCATTGGCCCAAGGGACAGAAACTGCAGCATTTAGCCAAGAGGGATTTGGCGGGGTGTGGAGAAAGGCCAGTATCTGGGCTGAAGAAGATTTTTGCAAGTCAAACCTATAGTCTCAGAGGTAGATTTTATGTGTGACTGCTGGGGAGGGCAATGAGGGAAACAGAGGCCAGCTCCTGAGAAGTCAGGAAGCAGGGCAGTCTTTCAATGAACGGAACAAAGCTATAAGATGTAGGCCGGGCGTGGTGGCTCATGCCTGTAATCCAAGCACTTTGGAGGCCAAGGCAGGCGGATCACCTGAGGTCAGGAGTTCAAGACCAGCTTGACCAACATGGTGAAAACCCATCTTAAAAAACAAAAAACAAAAACAAACAAAAAAAGATGTAAAGCCCAAAAACCTGACTCCGAACCTGGTATACTTCTGAGTATCTCTGTGATCTTGAGAATGTCATATTATGTTGGCTTTAGTTTTCTTTTCTTTTTTTTTTTTTTTAATTTTGAGATGGAGTTTCACTCTTGTTGTCCAGGCTGGAGTGCAAAGGTACCATCTTGGCTCACCACAATCTTCACCTCCTGGGTTTAAGCAATTCTCCTGCCTCAGCCTCCCGAGTAGCTGGGATTACAGGCATGTGCCACCACGATTGGCTAAGTTTGTATTTTTAGTAGAGGTGGGATTTTTCCATGTTGGTCAGGCTGGTCTCGAACTCCCGACCTCAGGTGATCTGCCCACCTCAGTCTCCCAAAGTGCTGGGATTACAGACCGAATCCGGTGGCTTTAGTTTTCTGTCAGCAGATAGTATGGCCTCTCCTATCTGCTACACATGATTGTGGCAAGAAAGAAAAGAGGCAGGGAGTGTATAAGTTCTTTGTAAGCAGTAAATTACTAAACAAATCGTAGATCCTATGTTACCAGGGAGGCAGTTAACTGCCTGGGATAGCACAGTTAGAAGAGAACGTAGGCGAGTTGGGGGATATCTGCCTTGCGGTGTAAATAAACGGTTTAATCAATACACACAAACTCTACAGGTAAATATAGCAATTTCCACACTGGGCTGTTTCTACCAGAGGGCAATAGGAGGCTCTCAATTCCACCAGCAGTGACCCTGTGAATTGCCCCATAGATGCCTCTGTCCTTCGTTGGATGCAAGGTGGTACAAGCGGTCTGAATCTGTAGACGTTAGACAGGCTTCAGGTATTGGGAACCATGTGAATTTGTGAGTAAAAGCTTGTACTGTATGTTTCTGGAGCTAGAATCTAGTCTTCATCAAACTCTCAAAAGGATCTGTGACCCCCTTCCAAAGGTTAAGAGTCATTGATTTTTCTCACCAGCAATTAATAAGAACGGCTGTCCTTGGGGAGAAGGACTGATGGGGGTAGGGAAAGATTTTCATTTAAAATTTTTGACCTTTCTGAACAGTCTGCATTTTCTAAATATGAACCTGTATCAGTTTCATTGAAAAGTCAAGGGTTATCTGAGCAGTGAGATAATGGGCCCTTTTCAGATTTTGTCTTTATACCTGTTTGTATTAAACAAACACAAATATTAATAACATATTTTTAAAGACGTTAAAAAAATTAAAAACCCTGATAGTATCAGCACATACACAGAAATCACTCCATTATGCAAAGTTCATCCTCTATTACGAAAGGCAAAATGTGTACATTTCCTATGAACCACTGGCTTCAATTCAGTAAAACCTGCATACCAAGTAGACAAGGTGGAAAAGAAAAAGGCAGAACATTTCATGTATTTCAATTCAGACGCATACAAATGTCAAGTCCTATAAGTACGTGTCAGCTTTCGTATATACTGTCTTCTGCATTTGCCTATACCAGCCAATGGGCTAGCCGGTCGGCGTTTAATGCTTGAAGTGATGGAACGGAGGACGGGGTTAAATCCACTACCCTCTCCCCACGCACTCTAGTAATTACTCTATTTCTACGTCATATTTCCGGGTGCATGTGTCCCTGCTCACGCAGAAACTGAAGTTCAAAGCAGGCGGAGTCACCCAGGTTCTTTTTGTCGTCCCCAGAATCGAATTCAGGAGTTGGGTCCCCAGAGGATCTGAAGACACCTGGGGGACTGCCTAACTGGCTGATTCTCACGTGGTAAGAGGCTCTCAACCTCGCCACCACGTGGTGCCCAGGGCCGGGAAAAGGGAGAGCGGGCGGGAGGGAGCTGTATCAGGGGCATTTAAAGTGCCTTGACGTCACACACTGCCAGGAACTCAGCTGAGTTTTCAGCAGGACATTCCGGTCATCTTCCCTCCCTCCCCCCGGGCTTCTGTGCCCAAGCCTTGGGCTCTTCCCGCGCTGCGGCGGAGGGAGGAACACTAAACTGTCGGAACAGCCAGCACAGGGGCGTATCAGTCTTCTCTTGGCCCCGCCCTTTCTGCTAACTGCTCCCCTCATTGGTTGGTGGGCGGGGCTTCTGCTGTACCGCACACGCACTGGGACCTCTGGGTGGCCGAGCGAGCGGGCCGTTCATGAATTATGCATGACGGCATGCCTTGGCCCTGCCGGGGCTGGGCGGGGATTGGCTGAAGGGGCTGTAATTCAGCGGTTTCCGGAGCTGCGGCGGCGTAGACCGAGAGGGGGAGCCAGGGGTTCCGACGTCGCAGCCCAGGGAACAAGCCCCAACCGGATCCTGGAAAAGCAGCCTGCTCGGCGCTGTCTCTCCCCGTCGCCAAGAAGAGGCCCTTTGGCCTGAGGAAGCCCCGCCGCCAGCCCTCGGCGCACGCGCAGCCCCGGCCTCTCGGCCTCCGCGGGAGAAACAGGTGAAGGGGGTGCAGGGTGGGGCCGTCGGGGAGGCCTGAGGACCCGGGGGCGCCGCAGGGGCCGGGAGCCTTTGGGACGTTGGGGAGGTTGTATGGACGCTGCATTAGGGCTGGGAGAGATGAGTCGCGGAGGGTCGCCCTGAGGAAAGACTCCCCGGGATGACTGGAGCGGGCCTCGGAAGGGACTGGGGGCTCTGGAGGGAAGTTTCGTTCTTCAGAGAAACAGTGAGAACGCGCTCGAGAGGGAACTGTGGGGCGAGGGCGCACTCGGCTGCGGCGACAGGAGTGAGGGACTGTCCCCCGATTTCCTGCTCCCTGGGGCCCTGGGGACGTTCCGGCCACCGGAGCGACTGTCACACTGGCGGGGTTCACCGGCTCTGGTGAGGGTCGGAAAGCGCTTCCTTTCCGCCCGGCCGGCGGCTCCCGCTGAGCCACTTCCTCCAGTTGCCCCGTTCCCGCTCCTTCAGGAGCCAACTGTGCCCCTCTGGAGGCTGGCATAGGTGTCTGTCCCCTGCAGCCTCACGGGCTGGCTGGTCTTGGGTAGGTTTATTGCATAAGAATCAAGTTTCCTGTAAGGAAATTGACAGACCGGTACTCTTCCTAAATTCCCTCCCATCTTTTTCTAGGTTAAGCTATACTCCCCCCACTCCCCTGCCTTGTAAAAAAGAGAGGGAAAAAAAAAAAAAAAAAAAAAAAAAAAAATCCCCATTAACCCGTCCAGTCAGCTGTAGAGAGAAATAAACCTCTTGACATTGTTCTTTTCCGAACACCTGGTAAAGTTGGCCAGAAGATAAATAATTGAGCCATTGCGTTTACTGGATTGTGTTGTTGCTTAATTGCATAGGACAGAATGAACCAATCGAGAGTGGGAGTTTTCTGTCTCAGAGCCAAGATCTTGGGTAAATGCAGAGGAGAGTGAAACAAAGACAGGCTGGCTTTGAAAAAAACCATGTGTGCAAACTTTACCTGCGTTTGGGGGGTGTGTTTGCACTGAAGTTAACAAGATTGAGACCGTCACCCAAATTGGTATTTCCATGTTTGGTACACATCACTCTGTGCTATATATCAGGTCGTTGTATGTGTGTATGTGTGGTGACAAAATCAGTGGTTAGTCTTTTTTTTTTTTTTTAAGAAATGTGTATAGCGTGTACGTGCTGGCTTTATTGTATATGCAACTAAAGGTTATGTAGTTTGTGTATAGATTGTAAATTTTTGGCTGGCTGTGCTGATAAAGCGTTGGCTTGAATAAAGCAAAGCAGAAAATGATCTCAATCTTTTATATGTGGCTTTAGATTGTGTTATGACTTAATTCAGCCAGTTTTTAAATTTTATATCAAATATGTCTATGTACTCTGAGTCAGCACATTTATTTCCTTATTACATGTTCCAGACTGGAGTGCTAGCCCAGTTTTTGTTCAGTTTGCACAGTGGGATGGGGGAAAGAAATCTGGAATTAAATGTTTTAGAGGTTGGAGCCTTGATTTTAGTCTGTATATTAGCACACTCATCACAAAGAACCATTGGTAAATTCAAGAATCTTTTGTTTTTTATGTAGTTGATTTGGGAAGAATAATCACTTAGAAACACCCACAGTGCCAGGCATGGTGGTACACACCTCTGATCCCAGCTACTTGAAGGCTGAGGCTGGAGGATTCCTTGAGTCCAGGACTTGAGTCTGGTCTGGGCAACATAGTGAGAGGCCTGGAGTTGGGTCTAGAGTCTAGTCTGGGCAACATAATGAGAACCAGTCTCTAAGAAAGAAAGAAAAAGGAAAGGAGGAAGAAAGGAAAAAAAAATACCCACAGCACAGTTATGAATTGACCCACAAAGGACTTGAGGTAGGTAGTTCACATACCAATTACCCTAATATTATAGATAAGAAAATTGAGGCCAAAGAATCAAGACACTTGCCCAAGGCAGCAGAGTGCCATAGTGGTGGAATTTGTGCCTCCTGCTATATATTTTGTGTTTTTAATTTTTTTTCCTCACTCTGATGCCAGGCTGGAATGCAGTGGCAGGATCTTGGCTTACTGCAACCTCCAGGTCCTCAGTTCAAGCACTCCTTCTGCCTCAGCCTCCCTAGTAGCTGGGACTACAGGCGCACGCCACCATGCCCAACTAATTTTTGTATTTTTAGTGGAGACGGGGTTTCACCATGTTGGCCAGAATGGTCTCGATCTCTTGACCTCGTGATCCAACCGCCTCGGCCTCCCAAAGTGCTGGGATTACAGGTGTGAGCCACTGCACCTGGCCTTTTTTTCTTGTTTCTATTTTATTTTATTGTTATTATTATTATTTTTTACACAGAATCTTGCACTGTCACCCAGGCTGGAGTGCAGTGGCTTGATCTCTGCTCATTGCAACGTCCACTTCCCAGGTTCCAGTGATTCTCCTGCCTTAGCCTCCCAAGTAGCTGGGATTACAGGCGTACCCCACCACGCCTGGCTAATTTTTGTATTTTTAGTAGAGATGGGATTTCCCTACATTGTCCAGGCTGGTCTTGAACTCCTGACCTTGTGATCCGCCCGCCTTGGCCTCCCAAAGTGCTGAGATTACAGGCATGAGCCACCACAACTGGCAAGTAACAGTAAAATTCTTTTTGTTTTTTTCTAAGATGCGGTTTCACCATGATGGCCAGGCTGGTCTTGAACTCCTGACCTTAGGTTATCCACCCACCTTGACCTCCCAAAGTGCTAGGATTACAGACATGAGCCACAGCATCTGGCCGTTAACAGTGAAATTCTAACATATATCTGAATAGTAAAATACCACCAACGGGCTGAAAGACTTCATGGGAGATAAGTATTCAATAAACAGGTGAAAAAAGAAATACAAATTGAGCTTGCTGGTTATTTTTCTATCTAATTGCTATGTCTAACTTGGGAAGTAAAGAACAGTTTTTGGTCAGCATAATTTATTATCATAATTTAGCTATTTACTAATGAAAAGAAATACTAATCTAGGTTCGTTTTAGGTGAAAGACAGTCATGACTCAAATGTCATTTAAACCAGAGTGCCTTGAGGATAAAGCGGCTTTATCCTCCCTGCCTCCATGTGTCTTGACATTCAGATATGAGATGCTGCAGAAGTGGTGACCAACTTTCCAGATGTCTGAGTCCACACCTTTGTAGCTTATGGTTTTCTCAGGTGGTATGCAAACCAACAAATACATACTCATTTTTTGCAGGGGGAGGGTGGGGATGGAGTCACGCTCTGTCCCCCAGGCTAGAGTGCAGTGGCCTGATCTTGGCTCACTGCAACCTCCTCCTCCTGGGTTCAAGTGATTCTTATATCTCAGCCTCCTGAGTAGCAGGGATTACAGGTGCCCACCACCACACCTGGCTAATTTTTGTATTTTTAGTAGAGACAGGCTTTCACCATGTTGACCAGGCTGGTCTCTAACTCCTGAGCTCAAGAGATCTGCCCACCTCAGCCTCCCAAATTGCTGGGATTACAGGCGTGAGCCACCTTCCCTCGCCAACAAATAAATACTTTTTGCAACTTTGTCTGAGTTGCTATGAAGAATAAATTGTATCTTGTTCACAGAAATTGCAGTGTACTGGGGGACTTGATAAATGTTTTAACCATCCAGTGTAACATGTCATCAGAGAGATGGTGAGACTTTACACCCGGTGCTAACAAGGTAGCTGTTCTACATTAAAAAAAATATAGTACAGATGTAGAACATTTTTGTTACCATAGAACGTTCTATTGGACAGTGCTACACTGAATGCTATAGGTCTTAGAGGAAGGAGAGGTTATGAGGCCTGGAGTTGTCTAGGAAGTCTTTTTTGCCAAAGGAGGGATTTCAACTGGGTCCCAAATAATGGGTGGAATTTGATAGGTGTAAAGAATTTTTTTTTTTTTTTTTTTTTTTTTTTTTTTTTTTTTTTTTTTTTTTTTTTTTTTTTTTTTTTTTT